ATCCAGATCTTGGATTTCTCTTTTTTTCAAACCAGTAAAAAAAAAATATATGCTGATTTCCTACATTCAGGTCTTTTGGGACTAAACAGGAACTGATTTATGTAAAAAAATTTGTGAAATCAAACCAAGAAATCAAATAATAAAACAAACATAACCTACTTTTTTACTTGCCAGCACTAGACATCTGCTGCAGTGAATCTTAACCAAGTGAACCACTGAAGCCCAGGTGTTTTTCCATTTCAAACCAGTCCCTGCAGGTGGTGATTCGACTGATTACGTCTTTTCGCTGTGGTTGAAAGTTTGTTCATCAGTGAAATCAGCTGCTGCAGTGTTTGATTTGAATGAAACTGGTGTTGCACAAAAATGGCACTGACACACAGATGAAGAATATACGGTATAAGCTTATTTATGGAAGATAAAAGAAGAGATAAAACTTTAATGATCCTCCTGTGAGGGTAATAAAGAAATATAGTGAATGTGAATTTTGGATGGGAATGACGAATATGAAAAGCAATGTAAAAATGGCAATACACATTAAAGTTTTATTAAATCAATTCAAAGTAAACAGGATACATATGTGAAATTATAAAGGCCATATATAAGCACATAAAATTAGCTATGAAAATATTCTTACATAAATTGCTGTGGTTTGCAGAGGCACACTATAAAAAAGAATCAAATACGGTGGGTTACAGAATAACCTCCGCATGAATGTGTTACAAAGTGTCCTGTATGACAAAGGACAGAGATACAACATAGAGGAAAATGACAGTGTGTAAAAACATGCAAAGAAGACAAGGCTCTATAGTTTATACTGAGCTAATATACTGTATATTAGGCCAATCAAACAGGATACATAAAAAAATAAATAAATAAGGCAACTGAATTCTGTGGTCGTCAAATGTACATTTATTTACAAGATTATTTATCATTTTAATTTGAGCTACTCCTGCAAAGGACATTATTATTATATTTTAGTTTATACAATATACAATAGGATAATGGTTCACGAAAAACACTATTTTCTTATTAACTCACGGTGCAAGAAGAAAGAAAAGTCAGGATTCATCATCAGCTCTATGTTATAAATTCATGAGGTTTTTATGAAGATCAGTTCTAAGAGTGATTAAAAAAAGAGCAGAAGAGCAGAATGGCTTCTTGATTGGCATGGACAAATTGGCTACCGGTGTGAACAGCCAGACTATTGCTCGTGCAACACAGTCGGACTGGTATTAAACATCAAAATGAAATGAAGAGGCCAGGCCTACCATCAGCCTCAGCAGAGGGGACACTGCGTCTACTCGCTTTTATTCAGAAATAGAAACAGGTTGACCCACAGCGGAGAATACCCGCTCAGATGGTACTGATATCCCAGAATATTTTGACTGTTACGGATACGGATAGTGTTAATTGGCCAAAATTCTTATCGTGGGTTAACGGTTAAACAGTTAAGTAGGAACAACATTACTGGGGGGACCATGAATATTTGTACCAATTTGTTGACTAACACATAGATGGCTGCAGAGGAAAAGTCAGGGGATCACCAAAATCAGTGGAGTTCATCCCCAGGGGACCATGAATATCTGTACCAAATTTAATGGCAAGCCAAGTTTAAACATTAAGCATTAGCATGAATATTGTCTTAGAATTAAATCATGCCTAAACGTCTTTGATGGATGCTTTTTTTCTCTTTCATATATATCCGATTACATATATATTGTCTGCGTGTGAGCTACACTCATGGTGTTTCAATGCAAACCATTTTCCCTAGCCTACTCACCTGACAGACTCATCCTGTTTATGCCATTTTACAGGATAATCCCCTAAGCAATCTCATTTTCATAGTGCATCATAGGAGGTTGAATGGGCCTAAAATGAAGCCAGAAGAAGTATTGTGGTAATTCCTCTACAACTAATGCATAATGATGAGATCAAGAAACTGAGAAGTGCAAAAAAAAAAAAAAAGAAAGAAAGAATTGGAGTGGTAGAGGTCAACCAAGGCCATTTACTCATCGTTTAACAATTACAGCATCTATTCTTCTCTCTTCCACTCTGACACTTATTCACTCTGAGCTGACAGGTTGAAGGATGTTTCTAAATCTCCTTTCTCTCCCTCGGGGCTGTCCGCCGCAGGTAAATCTCACACTTCTGTTTCTCTCTTTGCCTGTTGTCGGATTTAGCTGTTCTCTCATATATTCTAAAAGCAGGAGATGCGGCAGCTTCAATCTCATGATTATTTGTGCATTTTATTTGTTTGTGCTGCATCTGATTCCTGTGGATTGGTAGCTTTTAGTGTTGGTAGTTTTTTTTATTGAATTCAAACACATTTTGTTTCTCAGAAGCGCTTGTGTTTTGGCAGCTCTCCCTCCAGGAGATGATTCAGTAACCTGCTTTTTCAGGGTTTGGTGCAAAGCCTGCTTTGCATTCTCCTCCTGTCCAAACACAGGCTTTCTTACACCCTGCAACGCTGTGTTCAGATCCATCTCTCTGTGTGTCTCTTTGTTGCTCCTCTCCATTTTCTTTGTGCTTGTCTATTTATGTTTGAATCTGCAAGTTTGTGTATTATGTCCCTGCATCATTACATTCAGCTCGGTACTGTCTGACTGGAGGAAGAGAGGGCTCCAAAAGAGAGGGGAGTCAGAGCAGATAGTGAAAGACAAACTGTGACCAGTAGACCGGCTGCTGTGTGATCCAAAAGGACAGGCCATGTAGACCTGCGTCAGAGTCTCTCAGAGCTGCCAGGCAGGAATGTGTGAGAAAAGAAGAGAAGTATGTCAGGTAGAGGGATTTCTTCCTGCATGACTCATCCTGTCTTGGATGACAGTCAGTGACAAGTAGACAACCGTTTTGGTCTTGCTGAACCACACCTGGCTTGTCTTTTCACTTGACTCCAGAAATATAGCAGAGCTCGTCATTGACCATGAAACTGTGATGGTTTCTTTTTTTTAAAGGCAGTGCATGCACACACAGGGTTTTCGGTTTTCCTGGCTGTTAAGAACTCCGCGTAAGCTTAATTTAGGTGCAGCTCTGCTGGAAATGACTTGAGATCACCAAATTGTGATGTAACAATAGGGCATGACACCATTTGGCTGTGTGGCTGCGTTCTCGGGGTGAAGGAGACTGTCCTCCTCTAAAGAACAACCCCAGAGGTGGTCTGTGGAAACAGGTTATTACAACCCATAGTTCCATTTTATTGTAAGGCGAATGGCCATAGTAATAATGACAGTAGAGAAGGAGGAAGTCAGGTGACGTAGTGCAAAGAGAGACAAAGTCCATGTTGGGAGGAGGTTGGGGAAGTTGGATGAAACATCAAAACACGAGACTTCCAGACTGCTGTGTTTTTTTTTCAAGTTTCAAACCAATAGTCAAAGACCAGCTTCCTTTATCCTTGATTGATCCAAAATTTTAACTGTGTAGTAGTATTGTTACCGTGACAACAAATGTCCAATTTGCCTTCCACTGGTGTGCTCTTACGGGTTGTGTCCGAGGATAGGGACAAGCAACCTGCACGGTTGTTGAGGTTGGAGGACTTGTTGTGGTGAAGCCACGGTTTATTACAACTTCGAATGTAGTAATTTCATTTAAGACAATCATGAAGTTGGTGAACAAGCCAACAGTTATAGCCATATTATCTAACACTTTATTTGGAGATTAAAATAAAAGTGAGAATACCCCAAATGTCGGTGATGGCATGGTGATTTTATCATTCACCTTTGCTTTCTCCTTCAAATACATTTTCTAATGTGGGGGTTTGTTTAAAATCTGTTTCACTGTTCATGTTTGTTTCCCTAAAGAACCTATTTGTTAGCGATGTCGTCATGTTCAGAGGGGTGTCTTTAGTTACAGAGCTGATGGCCAGAGCTATACATAAATGAAACCAATATTGTAATAAATGTAGTTTTGCTTTGAGCGATGTTTTGATGAACAAGTTTTGTTTTGTTTGTATCTAAAGCCCTACTATCACATGTATGAGGGCACACATTCATGATGGCTCTACGGTTGATGGCCAATAAATCAATGTGCCACTAAAAGGCAGGGAAGAGGGTGGAGGAGTGCTAGCTGATATAAACAACGGCACTGCAGGATTCATTCAATGAAAATAATAATAAAACACTTTTCAAATGACCTTTGTTAAGTGTCAAGGATACACACAGAAACAGAATTTACAAGAAAACTCCACAGGGTACCTTTTAAATGGAGTGCAGGCAGCATGTGATGCAGCACTTATGACACTGAATCTCTATCAGCTAATCAAACAGCCGCCAGTAGCGTTGCCAAAAGTGCAACAAGCGTCTCGCAGAAGATGGTGTACCAGTAGAAACAGATCAATATCTGGTAGATCGGCCTAATAAACATGTCACACCTCTGCCTTTAATCTCTGTAAACATCATTCAGGCCAAATTTAGGTTTCATCTGTGGCCAGCCTGCGAGTGTTGCCAAGGGCAGAACAATAGTTATTCCATTTGACAAGCCATGTGAAACACACGTGTTTACCAGACGTTGTTGTTAGCGCTCCTGTGGCATTTTGTTGTTTTGTTTTACTTGCTGCACATTAAGCTGTCTCTTCACATTGGCATAAGCAACGTGTACTGTCTGGTAAGCCAAATTTAAATAAAGTGGAGACCCTGCTCAGCTGCCACAAATGAGATGAGGTGTGCACCTTCTGCTAAGGGGGGAAATTGCCCGCCCAAACAGGTGCCACAAAACTATGATACAAGTGAGGGAGATGTCAGTCGAGCACCTGAGAAGAACCAAGTCCAAACACCTGCGTAGACAAACTAGGTGTGTAGGGCCTTTAATGTTCTTTAGCTTTGATCAGTTTGAGCTTCAAGATCAATGAGTTGCAACATTACTGATATGTAGAGAGAGGAATAGGATTTTGCCTTTGCTGCACTGTCCTGTGTATTTGTGTGTGTGTGTGTGTGTGCGTGTGTGTGTGTGCGTGTGTGTACGTGTGTATGTGTGTGTGTGTGTGTGTGTGTGTGTGTGTGTCCCAGCAGATGTTATGGAGGGGAAGAGCGCCATTCTGCTGGGCATGAGTCAGTGGAACTCAAATGACCTGGTGGAGCAGATCGAAACTCTGGGACACATGGAGGCCCAGTCACATGGTACATCCTGCACACACACACACACACACACACACACACACACACACACAGATTTATAATGACACTCAGACACAGAGACACTCATGTGTGTACCACAGAGGTGTGTGTTTTGCTTGCTCACACATCCATAATGAAGGTTCAAATTGTCTGGAATGAGAGGGAGAGTAACCCACTGAATGATGATAATGGTGGGTAGACTGCAAATGGACTGTAGCATCTATTTAAATCCAAATTAAGTCATTTCTGACCACTAGGGGGCAGAAAGAGCCTAAAACCCTACCATCATGTCATGTTATCGAGAACTACTTTCAGACTTACAGCAGCCCTCCAGGCAAACACCTCAAGGGGCTGCAGTGGTGTGTGTTGGTATCGGTTGAGCATTGAATTCACAAACTAGTTTGAAGACCTATCAAACACAAAGACATTTATTCTTTTTTTTTACGCACTCTTAAACAATGATCACGTTTGCGAAATTTCTTGCAAAGTAAACTGTGAAATTAACTCAGTGCTACAATTAATTCTACCTGGTATATATGCTTCCATGCATCTGACTGGCTAATACAGCGCATTGCTTAATGCTGTCGTGTTTTCAGTCTCATGAAATGAATGCCAAGGCTACATGTTCATTCTCAGTTTAAACACAGAAGGTACAGAGAGCAACAGGTTGTGTTTGCGGCCACTTGATGTACAGTTACTGGTCTTTTTAGCCCCGGTCCCTCCATCAACTCACTGTTAAAAATACCTGCTCCTTAAGCTATGTGACTTTCACCAGTCACTTGTATATTTGTCTTTTCGCCATTTAGTTTTGAGCAGGTTTTGTACACTTAGTTTGTCAGAGCTTGTTTGCATTTATTTTTATACGGGGGTGAGGGGTCAATGAGAGGTGTAGCACTCCACCATACAGTAAAAGTGTGGGCGGAAAAACCAAAGCAATGAGCTAAAAGAGGTTTATAACGGCACAGACCTGCAGTGGGTGTTATTTCTCTAGCGTTTCAGTGTTGTGAGTGACCCTCTCACATTTCACTGAGTCCTTTGATATCATGTTAATATCAAAGAGGTTACTTCATGTTTAAGGTTTAAGGCTTCCGTATCAAAAACCATTAAGAAAACCATCTACATAGTCCAGAGAATGATTTAAAGTGAAACAGTTTGGGATGATCCTCGCTTGCAGAATGTAAACGTCTTGTTTAGGCTTTAGCTGAGCATGAGTGAACAGAAGCACATAGTGAGCAGAAGATAAACCGAAGGGTGCCTAACATCTAACATGCAGATATGCAGCGTGTTTCAAGCTCAGTGCTTCGTCTCCTTGCTCAGTGATGCCTGAGGAAGAACACTGATCTTGCAACACATGTATATCTGTGCTCGTCCTCTGCTCTTTCTGCGCCTCAGTTCATTTATGCCCATCTAAAGCATCAGTTAAAATAAAATTCACTCTTTGCCAGCAAAGAGGTTCTGATGTTTTTCACTTCTAGTTAGGGCTAGCATTGAATTTCAAACCAATCATGAAAAGACAAATAATACAGATACATGTGGATGCTCAGCTTCCTTTTTTCTCTTTCTTCTTGTTCAGTTCAGTTCAGTTCCTCAGATGTAAATGAGTTAACAAGACCTAAATATGGATTTTCATCCTTACTCAATGGACAGAATTTCCTTTGATTTTAGAGATTACCCTTCTTTTCTTCTTTTGTGTTTAGTTTTATGTCTCCCCATCCGCGTTGCTCTCACTTCAAGGTCCTGAGGAATAACATGGCAACTGCTGTTCTTCATTTTTTCCTGAGATCCAGATTGAAAGACTTTTCCTAATCCTGTCTTTGAGCAGAAGCTTCTCACGTGGTTCAGTAAATCAAAGAACGTCCAGATCTGTTTCATTTGTGTGCTGTAAATCGAATCATTCTGAGCAACGGAAAGAACAGATGCTGTGCCTGCCTGTAGAAATATTTGTGAAACGAACAGTCCTAGCAGGAAGAATATCATATTTCAGCATATTTTCATTTTGGTCCTCAACACTGACTTTAAATCAAGTGATTCTTCTAATGAATTCTACCTGTGAGAAAGTTATTCAATTAGATTCATTTATCTAAGTCTCTGGTGTGAGTATCCAACCACTGTAACTGAATTACATTCACCCAGAGATTTAACAGCACAGTGTTTTTCAGACACAATAAGAAAAGTTCAGTTTGTGCCTTTAAAGATCATAAATCAATGCTGGGATTTATGCAGATCACTGGTTTTTAATAGAACTGTCAAACTCCCACAGCAGGGGATTTCATGTACGAGTTTAAAATTCAATCAAAGTTGTCAGGAGTAAATTGCCATTAATGTTTTATAACCTTTTTGTCACTCTCCATTATGTTTTTTTGTGAGATGGTTAAGTCGTGTTTTTACTTATCAACATGTCATATATGTGAATAAACATCCATTAATAGAATGTTACATTAGGTTATCTTCTTAATCAGATGAGGACTAGGACAAAACGACACGGAACAAAAATAAATTGGATGTCAGCAATAAACAATCAGAGGCAATTTAACCATATATGACAAAATCACTGGTAATTACAGCTTTTCATTACCAACTGTGCTTTACCTCTGGCGATCATGTGCTGAGAGCATGGCACTTGCTTTTGGTTTTTGTTTACTGATAAATGGACTGGCTCTCGTTGTGAAGGTCAGCTCTGAGGTTTGACAAACTGGAGTGGATGCTTTTAATCACTGCGGTTCAGTGGGAGTGTAGTCTGGTCCTGCAGAGATGAAAGAATTCGCTCCTGCAGGGATGCAGTACCAAGTCATGAGGTAGGAACTGAAGAAGTGGGTACACTGTGAATACACACCTGCGAAGTGCTCCACTCCAGCAGCAGTGCCAGCCAGTTATTGTAGTGATCCACAATAATGTTAACTGTACCAGTGTGATGAATGAAATACCAGTTTTTTATTAACAAAATATGAGGAGCTGCCCCTTTTATTTAAGTATAGGTTTTCTAGCTTAAAACTCAAGTTGAGGAATGTTTTACCCTGATATCCTTTTATGAACGTGGGCACGGTAGTTTATTTTGACTCCATCCCACGTTCACCTTCCTGCTGAATAAATATTCACTCTGGCGCCAAAAGTTTCTTGATGTGCAACTGAAAATAGTCCCAACACATGGACTTTGTGTGAAAAATTACATATCGCATCTTTTTTAGGAAATAATTCAGCCTTATTTTGAAAATGAAACTCTATATTTATGGCCCATTTTTAAAGCTTTAGGTTTTCAGTAGGAATGACTGGGGCTGTGTAAGGTAGGGAAATTGAAAGGTATTGATCGGATGGTATTGAGCAGTGGACTAACACCTGTGGGTTTTGGTCTTTTCATGGACTTTGTTGATTGGCAGCCTTATTCCTCGTTGTAATACTGACGCTCCATTTAAGATTGCATTTAAAGTTCAGCCAAAGCTAGCACAAGGCCTCAACAGTCTGAGTTAGCTAAAGCATGTGGGGATCTTCCAAATTACAGTGTTTTGTGGCGGAGCAGGTGAGGCAGACTGCCAGGAAGATCTTTGGATACAATCAATTTGGCTATATTAGCTCCAGGTGAACTTTAGAGTGGCGTGCACTGGAGTCATGCTATGAAGATATCACTTAACGGCCAATTTGGAGAGGAGGAATGCTAACTTTTAAGGAGCATACTACCAGGAGTATTGTATTAAAACTTCTGCTTTCCTGTTTTTTGATACAAAGTTTACATCTTTTAGCTGAGGACTTTTTGGTCAAGGATGTAAATTAATCATATCATGATAATTTGTGAAACCTGCACGTACTGATTTTTTTTGCCCACTTAGAGGCAGGAGAAACAAGCTGACATATGACATGAGAGCATCTTTTAAGTTGATATATGATTTTATGTTAACAAACAGTTGCTTATTTACAGCAGACACATTTATTTTAAGTTGTGTTTGTGGCCGCCTGATGAATTTAAGTCCAATATTCACTCTCCTTCTCTGTTCTGGTCTCCAGCAACTCCTGAGGGAAATGTTCGGCTCTTCAGCTTCTAAATGCTCCAACAAGTAAACTAGTTGCTTACTTGTTTTTAGTCTTATAATTCTCTTTGGGTTCATCAATATGATGATATATGTAGTCATGTAGTCACCGTTGGTGTAAAATATTTGAAATGTACGGCTGTTTTAGTCAAATGTGGCTGTTTGATGACAAGTACAGTCAAAGTTAGAATGATAAAAACAAACAGATTTTTTTAATGCACTGCATGTTACAATGTGCGTATATTACAAACATGAAGTGAGGTGGCTAAAGAGAGTTGACAACTGAATAGGACAGGAGGACTGTGATAGCATTTTGCTGCCTCTATCATCAGTCACTGTAAATCTCCAGGTTCTTGACCCCTGCTTCAGATGTGAGATCAGAAAAAACGAGGGTCTTCTTTCTCCATTTCTCCTTTGATGACAGGGTGTCTGGTGCAGGAGCTGGTCCGCACATCAGTGGTGCTTGAGAAGTTAAGTGTACTCACTGCCCATTGGAAAAAAAATAAGCCCGCTATAGACGACTGGGGATATTTTACCTTAAATGGAGTGTGTGATGTATATGGTGTCTGTATTGGTCTAAAGCTGGCGTCTATCCATAATGGTAGACACTGGGCTGAGACATTATTACATAGTCATAATGTCCCCCTAGTATCTTGAGACTGACACCCACTGAGACCATATCTCTTTATCTTTTCTGATGTATGAAAACATTATTACACATAGTATCTTCTTTATGAAATAGAATAGAGATTAGATGTTCCTCCTGCAGTATAATCAATGTGAGGCTGTGTCTGGTACAGCAGGCACTTCACATTTCAATCGCAGCACACGACTGAAGTGGCAAAGCATGTCTGCAAACACTAATAATGTCACATAAATTTGTTTTTCAGAAAATCTATTATGAGACAGCGATTTCAGCTCTGTGAAATGTTGTTCCACTCAAGACCCTGTGACATGGAAAAGAAAAGACAGGAGAGGTGCTTC